TAGATTCTTGAAAAAGAAATTAACGAGTAATTATAAAATAAAAGATTGCTTACAAAGCGTGAATACTTGGAACTTCAAAGCTCACATTACCCTATACATAAAAATGCATAATTATCGAAAACTTGTATTTCGGGAATTATTATTATAATATAGGTCGAAAAATGCCTGATCTGTCGACCCTCCTGGAGGAAAAGTACCAGTCGGAGGATAAACTACGCCACGATCTTCCATGTGCTTCATAAAACTTTTTGCTAGCTTTTTATTTACGATAACTCTAATGAAAGAAATGAAGAAGAAATTGGAAACTATAGAATCAACAATAAAAATAAGATACAAAATATCTACCACAGCATCATCCTTTATCCCACTCAGTTTTATATGTGCATCCAGTAGCGTCCGCAGCAGACTTGAGACAATTTCAATACGACTTTTTAATTCTTGCAAGATCGAAACACTCTCAGAGAGGATTTGGACTTGAAGTGATGCGTAATCAGGGATCACTTTTTTGCCAAGTATTATCGTTTTATCAGGTACTGATCAGGTTCAATACTTTAAAAAAGTAATTGCATTACCATTGACTACTTTCCCTCCATTAGTAATAAACATGCTAATTCTGTATTGAACGCAAAAAATTTAACATATGTAGAAAGTCAAAATGAACAAAGTTATTTATAACGATTTTACCTATTGTTGATTTGCGATTGTTGTCTTAGCAATAAAATACCATTATAAGCCAAAACTACAGCGTCAAGTGCATTCATACTAAAGCTCAGATCAGATAACAAATTCAAGCTGTCACCAAGCATTCCAAGGGGACGCTGAAATTTTCTCGAGTATTAATATATTACAAGTTAAACGCGAGAATTAAATCAAATAATTATACGTACCAGCCGCATGCGCCGCTTTCCCAAAATACTCGATTTTCGCGCTTGTTATAGCTAGATAAACTGGATCCAATAAATCTCCCCACCTTTTTGCATGACAAATCGGGAAAAATTTTCGCATTAAAAATAGCTATAAATTCCGTTTCTAAATAAATAAAATTAAATTACGCTGGGTGAACCATCAAAGACACATCGACTTCTTTATACGCTCCAGCTTCGATCAATTCTACTTTACCGCTTACAATTTCTATATATATTTTGTAAGAATATAATTAAAATAATGCAATAAAGAAAATCAAAAAGAATAAAAGAGTAAAAAACCTTCAGCTGGTGTTCTAAACAACACTACTTTTCCAGGAATGCTTAAAGCTTTAAGTGCATTCATTACACCTTTTTATCGTATATAAAATCATTTATTCAATATGCTAACTCTAATGCCAATCTACTTCATTTTTATAAGTCTAACCATAAGCAGCAGCGACACCAGAAATCGCAATCAAATTATGCCCACATCCATGTCCAAGCGCAGGCAATGCGTCGTAAATACAACCAAATTAATAAAAATAAATGCAAAAAAATTATCAAAAAATCTTGTTGCTTACTCTGAATTAAAAGACACAGTCCGTCCACCAGTAACCTCGCTTTCATATTCCGCACGAAAAGCAGTATTTAATCCGTATGCTTTTCTTGTTACTTTAAATCCCTTTTTCTCAAGATAATCCGTCAAAAGATTATGTGCAAAGTGTTCTTCGAGTGCAATTTCAGGCTTTGCGCGAATCTAATTTTATGTATTTTTCATAAATCGAATGTAATAAATGAATCCTTATTCGAAAATCATTAGTTTATAATCACCTTTAAACTAATTTCTCGCAAATCGTCTGAAATCGCTGCAATAGAATTTTCTACGATCTTGGTAAATTCTGTCTTTTGAGCAGCCATTGACGATATATTTTCACACAATTGAGGGAAGTGTTACAGTCACAATATGTAACCAAGTACGTACATGTTCATGACTTAACGTTAACGTCAAATACATGTATAATGTATCCTGCGCGGGATAACCAAAATTTACAGAGCAATATTCGCATTTTAAGGGGTGCTTTAAATTCGGAATTTAAATTTTGCGTTATCGCTCGTTTTTAAGTTAGATTTAAATATTTTGATGCATATCAAAAGTTCTATGCAATTAATAATTACGTATACTGTATGCAATATCATGTCTTTTCAAATGCTAAAGTGAACAACTAACTGAGTAAAATAAAGAAAATTTCATCATTTCCTTTCGCCCATTATTTCAAATTTAGTTCTTGATTGTAATAAAACAAATAACATTTACTCAAAAGTATTTGTATGCAAATTTTCTTTGAACGCAGCCACACAAAAATGGATCAAGAGTTCACTTATCTTTCAATATCCAAAGATCAAGCCAATCTTTTAGTCAAGATCGTTGCATCCATATGTGCTTATCGATTTTTGCAAGTGGTTGCGCGCGGTTACGACTTATATTTTTTTTATTATGGTATACAAAGTTTTATTAGTAGAGTATCAATGTAACTTCCATATAAACCGAGTTCGGTGTATACTGCGCCGTTATAGAGAGCTTTTACTGTGGTGCAAAAACCTAATCCGAAATACCCGTAGTGACACTTAGTCGAAACGACACCCGATCAGCCAGCGCCGGAAAATAACACCAGTTCCGGCGAAAAATAAATTTTCCGATTATTGTACCAAATTCTTTTTGAATTCGGTTGGTCATGTCGATAATAATGTAACAATCATGTGAAAAAACATTCTTACTAAAATGCAACCTCTTGTTACTAACGTCTCAAAAAACTAGCTTTTCTGTGCCCCATTCTATGGCTAAAATGAAGGTAAATGGTGTCATTTAATTGTACTTCAACCTCTTACTGCTGAAATGACATCAGAACGCACTATGTCAGTTAACAGCGCTTCAAAAAAAGAAATTTCCCTTCAGAAACAACAAACCAAAAGCCCAGAAATCATGATTATCTAAAATATAATTAAATTTAATGCAATAGTTTAACTCATAAAAAGTTGTTCCGTTATACATCCTATTATAATCCATATAAATTATCTTTTCATTGTTAATATAACCAGCCTTGCAAAGATATCAGTTCAAGAAAACAAAGCCCAAAAATCGTGAGCTTGCCATCGAATTCAATTGTGGAGAAACCACAATTTCAGATATTTTGAAGCAATCTGAGAAATGGTTAGTTGTTTCTGTTTCTGAAAATGCAAATAATATTAGAAATCGTGGATCCGAATGGTTTAATCTTGATGTTGCACTTACTATTTGGGCACAAAATGCCTTGACCAGTTCTCAAGATCTAATAAATGACACTATCAAAATGAAGACCAAACGATTTGCTGAATCCTTATAAATTGAGCATTTTAAGATATCAGATGGTTGGCTAAGTCGATTTAAAAAGTGATATCATCTTCTTTAATATAGTACCATTAGTAAAAAGGGTTCAGGAATGGTTTTTATTGTAGAAACCTCTAGGTGATCTGCAGGATTCCAGTTCCGTACCGTCAGAGGACATTTTATTACCACGAGGAAAATTTAAGCGGAAAGTGGTGGTACGACCAAAATTTTCTTCTAGTATCAATTTTCGTAATAAGACTTGTTTAATACAATTAGTGTTGACTACCTATACTTACAATCATAGCGTCCAAGACATTATTAAAAGCAAAATTTCGAGCTGAGCATTTTTCACTAATTACTCAATCTTGGTTTACTTAACAAAATTTCGAGCTATTGGGATTTTTTGCTTTTTAGGTTTTTTTCGACACAAAAAATTTGGATCTGCGATCTTGATATGATTGACTACTCGACATTGTTTTGAAATACTGATTGGTCGCCAGAATTCACTATAAAATCATTAAAGTTTTGGTCGTTCCATCTAGAGGTTTCCACAATATGGAACCTCTAGCGGAATTTCAGATTTTCCTAGAGTTTTCTAATAGTTTCCTAGTAATTCAATTGAATTTTTGTGAATATAGTATGAACCTTAATGAAATCATTAGAAAACCCATGGTTCTTGTAGACTTTTTTCTACCGGTGTATTCCATCTGCAAAATCCTTGGATGAAAATAGATGCTAACTTAAGGAACTTCTCCTGCTATAACATCCTAAGGGCATTTTTAATGCTGATGAAACTGGATTCTTTAGAATGATATCCAACAAGACCTGTACAAAAATTTGTATCCAGCACCAAAGATAAAGCATATGTAACAATCTTTGTTGTTGCAATGCTACTGGGACTGAGAAGTTTATCCTTCATTTCAAGACTTCCTATTCCCTAAGAGGCACGAATTGTAACGTCACTGACCACAGTACCCGGGGTACTATTCAAAAACTTGGTTTTAAAATTGAATATACCCGGTACTATTCACAAATAAAGTGATTTCATTGGTGGAGAAAGTGGGTACGTTTCAAGAGGGGTATTATAGTCTGGGGGTACTGTAGTCAGTGGAGTACAGTAGTGCTCCAATCGGGTCAGGTCTAATCAGTGACCCGACCCGAACCGCATACTTTGGGTTGGAGTTAAACCCAACCCGAAATATTTCGGGTCAACCTAAAAATCGTTATTTCTCTTTCAATATTAAATCAAATTAAACGACTATTTGTGGATATATACACAATTACATTGCGAACAATTCTAATTAAGGCACAAAATACAATTTTCTTAGTAAAAATAAATGTTATTAACGAAAAACTATTTCGCACATTTGGGACTGGCTTATATATAATACGCACTTAAAGGAGTTATGCATTTTTAAAAATTTGAAATTGAATTTTTATCTTTCAACAATATCGCAAGTTTTTTAAAAAATCTACATGTATTTACTGTGAATAGATATAAATGGTTAACAAATTACGAAAGAAATCTTCAGTATATACGTGATATTACCTAAACCTTACCAAAACAAAAACTTATAGCAAAGAGACATTAGATAGATTTTATCTGATCACACTGAACTAATCAAAACTTCGTACTGAACATTTTAAAAAACTTTTCAGGAGTCATTTCCAGTGTATTTGATCGAACATGTATTGAAAGGTGATATACTTTGTATTGATGATCAAAAATTTACTAGCAACTTCGTCTCAATATCTGTTAGACGTAAAGCAGTCTCAAGAAAAAGATAGACCTAATAAAGATATCACCAGAAAACCCGAGAAAAAAATGCTAAGGAATCTAACACAGTCGACTCTCTCTATAACGAACCTCTTTATAACGAACTCTGGATATAACGAACCTTAAATTTTTAAATTTTATATTAGTTCGTTATATAAAGAATAGTGGGCTCTATAGAAAACATAGTGAGTTTATATAAAGAACTTTTTTTATTAACAGAACCGTCAGTTCGTTATAGAGAGAGATGACTGAACTCTGAAGAGTCTTATCGAAGAGTTGACCACTGATCTTTCTGAAAATTCCGAAGGAAGGTCTATAAATTTTTAAAACAATAGATAATAGACAACTTTAGACACATGTACAAGGACATTTTGGTCATACTAATATTATCCCTGTATTTAGCCTCGTATGATGCATAACATCTAAACGTTTGTATTTTATAAAATGTATAAACTTCCTTACTAAGAAGAAAATACAATTTCAGTCCGTGAATATGATTGAATAAACACTTTCTGAGTATATCCACGGTTAAATTTTGTATTTACATTTTATAAAATACGTATAGATGTTATGCACATTATGATTTTAAGGTTATTTCACTTTTTCAAATTTTCCTTTTTTCGCTGATTACCTTAACTAAGCGGAAGCTCAGAGTAAATAAGCTTAGATATTACATATTTTGCTCTATGAATTTGCCGATGCTACGGAATTTTATGGAATTCCTGGAACGGATATAGAGCTCACCTAAACTAGTTCCGAAAATATACACGGGATTATTATAAATTCCAAACTTGCGCTAATTACGGAGTAGGTCCAATAAAATTGTATAGCAGTGCTGCGCAGTTTTTCTGTAGTGTATGTATTAGTTTGGTTTTTATTATCTCTATTTAGAAATAGGAATCGATTCTAATAATTTTTAGAACCAATCTCAAATTAATTTATTCTAAATAAAAGTTACAATAAAGCAAAAATAATAGATAAATGAGTATTTAATCTGAACTTCCATTAATCAACAAAAATAAGGTAATTGCGAAAAGTGAAATAATCATAAGATACTTTTATAAAATAACGATTATCCGATGCAAACAGTGATAATATAAAGAAAATTTCGATTAAATGCATCTTATCGTAAGCATATTTTTTATCCAATTTTAAATAAACACAGCACATCATTAAAAAGTTTATAAAATAAGCTCGTAAACCCATAAAGATGGAATACATCGGTTGTCAAGGATTGAATTACTGCGATGAGTGTTCTTCATGGTTGCATAGTACTAATCGCCAAAAAATGAACACATCGCTATGGATGTAATACATGTCGTAAACTAACTTAAAAAGCTGAATGGTCCAGTAAACTAAAGATACAAGTGACTCTTGTTATAGTAAACTCCTGTTATAGTAAAGTTCAGTCTATAATAAAGCCTCTCGTTATAGTAAATTTACTAATAAACACTCGATATAGTAAATTTTCACAAATAGTCCGGATGCCTTTACTATAATAAGAGTCACTTGTATCCACAGTCTAAAAGAATGCGCGAATATGACCAATTAACATTTTGTTCTTTTATTAGATAGGCGATATCGACATCTTTATTCTTGCTAGACCATTCAACTTTAAAATTCGTTGGTCATTTTGGTACATTTACTACAATCATGAGTATTATGATCTAACATACCATATTGACAACGAATGCATTTATCACAACCATGAGTGTTAGAATCCATCTTTGAGTTCAGTGTATTAATTAAAACTTTGATAAATAAAAATAACTTATA